GGAGAAAAATTTCATACCAGTGCCTTTTTATAACAAAATAATATCCGAGAAATAGAAATATCGTAAATTATTGCTCAAAGATACAAGACATATTCTCAATTTAGCCGCTAAACTTGTGCTAAAAAGCGTTTAAAATTTTCAACAATCGCGTGAATAAGAAAAGTTCGTAACGGTAACTACAATGCTAGAAATGCCAAACCCTTCAGACAATTTACTTATAACTTTAAAGCGTAAACCTGTCCTATACAGGGTGTCGAGTAAAACTATCAAATAGAAAACTAGGCATGCTGTTTTAATGAAAATAGGGTTAGTTCCGGGCTTTATTGGCTTAATCAGAGATTCTAAATAACCAAAAATATACAGTATGTCCCATTTAAAACTAAGATTATGCCAACTTCCAAAGTGTATAAAATTGTTATTAATTAAGAGCATAATCCTCAAATTTTCATTAAAAATGCATACATTACCACTTATAATCAGTTTACTCGTAATGGTACACCCAGATACAACAAAATGTGACGAGACTAAATTAATAGCGATGAAAGAAGCGTATTCGATGATCGTAACGAATCCACGTAAAATAACGAAGATAATTAAGTAAAAAAAATGATGTAAAAATCAGTTTTGTTATGAATCATTTGCTGTTCATTGAAGAATTAGCAGGTAGAGTTGCCGACCGTTGTTGAGCATTCATGTATGGCTTCATGTTAGATCGAGTCGATTCCCTGGAAAATTAGTAAGTAGTAATGAAATTATTAATTAAAAAAAAACGAGTGAAAATTATTTTGTGTTATAATGTTAGTGATTAGTTGTTAGGGAAGCAATTTTAGTGTGACAAACGATTCGTTTGGCGTAGCGCAAAAGATACTTAAATTTCTAAAAAAAAAAAATCAGATTGTTTATTAACAATTCAATTCCAATAATATATACATGCTTAATACCAATTAAACATCTAACAATTTAAATAGAAACAATTCTACCGATCCCAAAGCCATGCAAATACCATGCAACTGGTTTAAAGGTGATCCCTGATTATTATGGAGTACGTCCTGTAAACACTAAAAAATCAAATTGTATAAATAGCAGAAAAAAATCGAAATAAACAGAACGAGAACGGTGAAAATGTGATAAAGAAACAGACGTGAAAGGTGAATAATAAGTGAAAGAATACCCAAACATTTTTATTATTTATTGGTAACATAAAAAGAAAATATTACAATAAATACACAATTATGTAAGAATGAGTTTCAAAAAGTGTTTTGTACGAGAAACGAAAAAAATAGTATAAAAAATAAACATAATGACGCATTAGTCACGAATATGATGTGGAAGAATAAAGTAAATGTAGCAAATAAAAGCATAATCATTAAATTTCTCTAAAAAACTCTAATAAAACGACGAGCTTATAAGAGCAATATCACTACCTACAAATTGATTCAAAAATTCACCAACTAATTTAAACTTATTGATAATGATAATAATAATAAAACAATGGTAAGTAGATTAGAAAACATATTTATTTTAAAGTATCTAGTCTTTTCGAATCAATATGCAATAATACTACAAATAAATAAAAACTAGCACGATTTCGTTATTATAAAATGTGAAATACGCCGACAGCATTTCACACAGTCCATTATTTTCAATATAAAAAAACTAAATTCAGTATTAATAAAAAATATCCAAAGCGCGTAATAAACCAACCTCTATTTTTTAGCAATTTTTTAACAAATTTTCAGCTTCCAATTTAATTCCATTCATTATAATTTTTTTATTTACGCACTAACCAGCGCCATGCCATACCCTCAAGTGCAACAACAAAGACAAAAATGTATACAAAGAAAAAGAAAATAAAATAAAAACAAGAGAATAGGTGAAAGCTGATCGTTGTGTACCCCCAAACTCACCTAGGCGATATCTTAGCCGAGGAGTCTATGGCATTGGAATTGTTGGCCTTGAAACCGCACTTCTGGATCTTCTTGCTTAATCTCGACACCCACAGTTTCTGTTCTTCCGACGACGACGCCAGCAGAAGCAGTTCTTTGGCATAAGAGGGATCGTAATGTAACTTACAGGGCGGCACGGTGTCTTCCTTTCGCTCCAAATGCTCTTTGTGCACTTTTATCCTACACCCTGCAACACAAATAAATCAATTATACTATATTAAAAACAGTAAATGCGCAATATTTCGTCACTGGATCATTAGAATGTATAACCGAATAGCAAGAGGCCGCATTTTTGACATCTCTTGCTTCCGTTCCAGCTTGCTTGTTATATTGAAATAATATTAAGATTTTACGAGGGAAATTCTGAGAATTGTGCTCTAAATAAATTACCCAGAGCTTATATGCAATGTTGTTGGTGATAGAGAAGTCTTCTTATATTTATGCAACTATCCTGTTCAATCTAATTCAAGTGTTCGACTGATATAGACGCGTTTGCATAGCTCTGTAATCATGTAACAATGGAAGACGCAGCAATATCTCAAATCTCTAATCTCTTATATCTCTGCTATGATAACGCGCCTGATATCAGTCGAATCCCTGAATTAGACTGAACAATCTTGCACTGGACAGTTGCATAAACAATTCAAAACATGTCTCTGTGTTGCACCAATAACTTCGTCTATAAGTTCTGCGTATAATTTAAATATAGCACGATTCTCCGAACTTTGTAACCATCCCTCGTACTTACTTCTGCATTCCAAGGCAGGAGGCGGCCGGAACATGTGCCACATCGGCTTCGGGCACACCTCGCAGGTGGTCGGCATGTGATAGGAGATGTTGAGGAACTCGTGCCCCTTGTGCGATATCACGCCGGGCTTCTCGTCGAAGTTTCTCATCGTCTGGCTGACGTCCAACGCGTTCGAGGGCTCGTCCGTCTTGCGCGCCTCCCCTTCGCCGGCGTACAGCAGCTGGAAGATGCGCGGTATCTCCTTGGATTCGGCGCGGATCACGTCGCCTTGGGTCACCGAACGCACGTGGAATACTTTGCTGCAAACGATACACTCTATTACTTAACTGTATCGGAATATAATAAGCGATGGTGCGTTTACCATAAGTCGAGCACGATGACCGGATCGGAGTTCTGTTTGTCGTTGTCGGAATTGTAAAATATGATTTTCCTGCTGGATACGACGACGTATTGTTTCTTCCAACCGTGCCGCCTGATGTTCTGTTTCGATGGTATCGACAGCCACCCTTCGAATACGGTGTCTATTTCGTCGCCTTCGTTGTCCGCTGAACTTATCGAAGCCGTTTCCGGGTTTATCGTTAATTTCAACTGTAATTGCTCCAAATCGGCGTCCTTGCTGTCCAGCTCCATTTGGAGGCGTTGTTTGGCCGCCAATTCTTCGTTTAGTTGAGCCTGTAATATTACAAAAAAAAATTAACACGAACTAATTAGACGGTTTTCTTTTTAGAACAACTTACGCTTAAATCTTGAATGTTTTTCTGGTAATTAGCTATCATTTGATTGTATTTGTCCTTTTCCAAGCTGAGTTCTTGTTGCAACTTTTTCAAATCTTTTTCTTTTCTTCTCAAATCCGCGTTGGACACCTTCGATTTACCCTTATTAGACTCTCTAATATCTTTTCTATTCATAATTTCGTGTAGTTTGTTAACAGCCTGTTGCTTGAGGAGACTCTCAGTGTTTAATTTACTGACCTATAATTAAACAACAATTAAATACAAGCATAAAATAATAGCATTTCACTTACCAATTTATCAAAGTCTTCGTGACTGGCGCTCTTCCTGCACAACTCCTCTTGCGCTTGCTTATACTGCCTGTTCAAATCGTCCTTCTCTTTGAGCAATTGCTCGTTGGCCTTCTTCAGTTCGATTTCCCTGTCTTTGAAGGAATTTATGATGGCCTCCTTGCCGTTGATTTCGTTCCGGTGTTTGGCCAGCAAGTCTTTGAGCTCCAGCTCCTTCATGGTTTTCTCCTTCTCCAAATCGGCCACCGTTTCCTCGGCTATGGATCGGGCCAAGGCTTCGGAATCGGCGCGCGCCAACGCCAATTGGCATTGGTGCTTCAACGAGGCGCGTTCCTCTTCGAATTCCAAGTTGGTGCGATTCTTGTCGTCGATTTCCTCTTTCAGTTCGACCGTTTGGGTTTTATACAACGTGGTAAAATACTGTTCGGTTTCTAAGTTCTCCTGCAGCTCTTTCATTTGTAGCTGGTCCCTCTGCCAATTGCTCTTCACTCTCAGCAACTCTTCCTCCAAGGACTTTTTAACTTCCTGTAATCGATACGAAATGGTACAGTTCAATTTATTCAAAACGCAAAAATGAGTAAATTACTTGTAATTGATTGAGTTCCTGCAGTAATTGAGATTCCCTGGCTTTGAGCTTGTTCAATTCGGCGGTCTGTTGGCTCATTTCCGATTGCAAAGTGGTTTTCTTCTGTTGCTCCTGCTCGAGCTGGCTGTGCAATGCTTTGACCTTTTCCACTTCTTGCCTGTACTCGCCTTCTAATTTCTGCAAACGCTGCTGGATTTGCCTGTAGTCTACAGATAGCATGGATATTTGTCGTTCTTTCTCCTGCGAATTGAGATCTGCCTTTTGACGCGCCGATTTTTCCTCCGTTAGTTTCGTTTGCAAGGCTGAAATAAGAAACGAAGATGTAAAATAGACAAGGTGTAAATTACAAGGTGGAATATTGTTAAACGTGTGTTTTACCGTTTATTATCCTATCCATAAGTTCTGCATGAAATAAACAAAAATTAGGTTAGAACAACATAGAATTTAACAAATAGAAAAAATAAATTTACCGAATATTACGCTCAGATCGGCCGAATCTCGTAAATGATTTATAGTCCTACACGTAAGCATTATGTCAACTAGAAACTACAAATATCGATGCAGTAATTGTATTGCACTCAGTTAAAATGATTTTTCTACTTTATAGTAGGCTTCAAATTATGAAACAAGTAGAAAGGAAAATTAAGTCATCTTACGAATTTGACTAGCACGAATGTCACGAAAAAAATGTCATGTAAAAACATATTATTGTTAGTCACATGCTTAATATTAAATTCTCTTAGTTTAAACCTATCGAAAATACTAATTATTCTATAAAAATAGGTAAAAAACGAGACGAGAAATTTTTGAGGATTTTTTTTACCTTTAACAACCTCTAAATTTGCTTCCTCCTTGTTCATGACTCTGCTTCGTTCGGTCTCTTCATGCGCCTTGACTTCTTGCTGATACCGTTTCTTCACGGCATTTAATTCCAAGTCCAAGCTGGCGCATTCCTTTTCGAGCGTAGATATCTTCTCGCTTAATTGACTGTTATCAGTGGAGGTTTTCACTTCCTTCTGTCGCAATCGTTCCATCTCGGCGTTTAGAGATTGTAGTTTGTTTTCTAAGACCATTTGTTGATCGGAAGCCTATAAATTGGCGAATTGTTATTACTGAAATTTAGGCGATCGGATGGAATTTTACCTGGCTGCGTATGCTTCGTTCTTCGGTGAGCTGTTCTTGCAGCGAAGCCACTTCCGCTTGTAGATTGTCCCTTTGAAGCTGAAGCGTTTGAAGCATCGTTTGGAACTCGGTCACTTTGAGTTCGGAATTAGATTTGGCTATTGTTAATTCGTTGGCTTGTTTTCTCAACTTTTGGCAGTTTTCAGTCTCGGTTTTCAGTTTCTCTTGCATTTCGTTGACCTGTTTCTCCAGCAATTGGATTTTATCGTTGTGCTGCTGATTGTTGTTCATCTCTCGGGTTCTCTTCGTCTGTTCGTCTTCGAATCTCTTCTTCAATTCCGACAGGTATTTCTCCGTGTTCTTCCTCGAATCGGATTCGTACTCGGCCTTCCTTTGCAGCTCTTTGTAGCTGTGCTTCAGTATCGTCAGTTCTTTTTCGTATTTGGTAGCTTCTTCTCTTATGTCGCTCTCCCGCTGCGCCACGGTCTCTAATTGCGCGAGAAGTTGACTCAGCTTGGCTTCCATAGCACCCACGTTTACTTTCTCTTGTTCCAAAAGGAGTTCTAGCTTTTGAATTTGATTTTTCGTGTTTAAAACCGTACTGTTGATACCGTCAGCGATTCGATTACTAGTTTTACTGTCTACGGAATCTACAGTGAGGAGTTGATAATCGGAATTGTAGGTAAAACCTAAAATTAGAACATTATCAATGATTAGATTTGGCACGTACGTTGAATAGAAACAATAAATAGATTTGATATAAGTTGAGAAAAAAATTTATTTCGTTACCTATAAAGGGCAAGTGGTTGCCAACAAAAGTGTTAGGTACTGGAAAGTTTTCGTCTGTAGTTTCGTCCTTTTCGTAATCCTCGAAATTACTGGTATCGTCATCGCCCGATAATTCCGGAACAACCGGCGGCGCCATTTCTCGCAAATTATCGAAAGTCCAATTTTCGTTGTTTATAAAAAACTGATGGGACTTGATTTCGTCTACGCTATTCCGTCCTGAAAATGCCCGGATTTATTCGTTTCGTTCGACAAAGCAATTAAAATCGTACCCAATCGTTTGTTTCTATCACAGAGAAGGGCTTGAATGAAAAATTTGGCTTCGTTGGAAATTTCTACCTCTTCGGGAAACGACAGGTTCTTTTCGTGGTACATAATTTTGTTGTAAGTACCGAGTAAACTGTCCGCGTAAAACGGCGTCTCGCCGACTAGCATTTCGTACACGAATATACCTACTGACCACCAATCGCACTCCCTGCCATAAATACCTAAAAAATTACATTAAGAGATAAACAAAATAGGCATTAACAATCATCTAGTATCGCTACCTTTTCCATGACTTTGCAATACTTCGGGTGAAATATAATCAGGTGTACCAACGACGTTGTTCGACCTGACTAGACCCTCTTCGTCCATTCTCATGCAGGTTCCGAAATCGGCTAATTTCAGATGACCGTATTTATCCAATAGCATGTTGTCGGGCTTGACATCGCGATGAACGAATCCCATCGAATGGATAACATCGAGCGCCAGGACGACTTCCATCGTGTAGAATTTCGCCCAGCTTTCGGGAATGTCATAGTTCGACATGAGGTTAACTATATCACCGCCGGGCATGTAGTCCATCACCATGTAAAGATGTTTCGTGTCCTATTCATAAAAGATTTACGTCAATAAGTGGTTAATTCGAGATGGTTGTGACTTACTTGAAACGCGAAATGTAGCTGTACGATCCATTCGGAGCGCGCGTGCGCCATTATGTACCTTTCCTCCCAAAAAAATGCAGAATCTGAGCGTTTTATTAAATCCGATTTGCTGAGCCTTTTCATAGCGTACACTTTTCTAGTATATTTGTGTCTAACTAACTGCACTTTACCGAACGCTCCTTGTCCTATTACTTTAATGGGCTCGAAATCATCGATTTTCATGCGCAAATTCATTATGTCGCTGGCTAAGTCATCGTCTGAAGAATAAATATGCTTAATAAACTAATAATAATAATCTTATTCTTAATAATAAGCTAACCTTCGCCTTCTTAGGGCAAATGTTTGGGCGTTTGTATAAATAAAAAGCTTATTTTTATTATTATTAAACTAGTGAAGAAATATTATTAATTATCTTTATGAAATATCAAAGTTTTGCTTTTTTGGGTAACCCTGTATGTTTGTGGAATGCGTTTATTTTAAACGTTTAGTAAAATCAGCGTCAAATTAGTGAATCAAAGTAAATATAAATCACAATCATTGAAATAATTCATTATAATCATCAAACGTAATCGGCATAATTCGGATTTTTAGAATTATAATTTTATTATATATCAGTAAATTTTATATTTATTTGTTGACGTTACTGCAATAGATACGATTATAATGACTCAGATAAATATTATACTTGTTACAAAATAACTAAATAAGTATGTATAAATGCAATAAAACCGGACATTAAAGATAAAACTGATTTCGTAAACTGTTCGTCTTTGTTTAAATTTCCGCCTTATTTAAAAGTTCACCCTTTGTTCAAGTGTTTTGTAAAAAATATAAAGGTATTCCAAGTAGGAATAATGTATACCCGTATACCCTATCCACTCCATTATCTTTTAATTAATAGACATAATATGTGATAACGTGGTAAACAAACTATGTTGTAGTAAGAAAATAGAAATACTTACATCGATTTAAATAGACTTCTACGTTTTTCAATTTTTTGATCCCTGGATGATCGCAGTCGGTATACAATGCCTGCACTGTATCTAGCAAGGAATCTACATTGCCTTTGCCAAGAGGGTCTCTTATTCTTTCTTCGAGAAGCCTTAATCTTCTTCTTCGATCTTCATCGTTCATAATATCCATTTTAGTAATTGTATAAAAGTAACACTAGGCCTAACTAATTTACAGAATATCTGAAAACGTAAACAACATTATTTCTTGAAAGTTTGAGAAAAAGGTGATGTAATTGCAATGTAATTGAGCATTGTTTACTTCGTCATGCAGATGGTTATTGTATTGTTTAAATTATATGAAAAAATTCTCAATTTTTGTAAGAGCAACCTGTCAAATGGTCGTAAAATTATGATCACATTTTATTTACCTTAACATTACACGCTTTTGGAAGACGTGCGAAGAATAAAAAATAATCCAGGAGCCGAATATTATTTTATATTTAACATAATAAATAATAATTCACGGCGAAAGAATCATATTTACTTATTATATCAAAGCAGCCATTTTAAAATTAATCATCACATCACCATATCACATCACTTCATTTCACATTCCTTTCACTCGTTCGTTACAAGCACGAAAGAACTTCTGTAGCTGTCTTCTTTTAACAAACGGAAAAGGGCATTTCTTATACCAAAAAAACGTATTTTTAAGAGAAGTCGAACTGACAGTTGACAGATGTCACTTTCAAATAACTCAAATGTCAAATAAACCAAATGTTTTTAAATTTTTTTTATACCTCGTCTGACTAATTGTGTAGTTAAAAGTTGTATTTTACATTTTAGTAGTTAGTAATTGATTTTTACGTATTCTTTAAGCTAGCCTAGTTGTATATTTCATGTGAAGAATGATTGGTTACCTCAGGAGCGCCAACAGTTCTTCACGTGCATAACCTAAAAATGATGGATTCTAAATATGCGATTGGAAACGGGCAAAACTCTATTAACAAGTACAAAATCAAAATGAAACCGTTACCGGTAATATTCAACAACTCCAGCGGACCTCCGAACGCCAAAAAAATTAAACTGAACGACGAAAACCGCAATTCTACAAACGGCCACACAAATAACAATAAACCGAAAATTAGCATACAGGACCAGAGGAGGAACCTACCCGTGTTCGACAAAAGAAATAAACTCTTGGAACTCGTTAAAAGGCACAAAACTTTAATAATATTGGGTGAAACGGGTAGCGGTAAGACCACTCAAATCCCTCAGTACATACACTCTGCGAGACTACAAGAAAATGGTAAAATCGGTATAACACAACCTAGAAGAGTGGCTGCTGTTAGTATAGCTACTAGAGTAGCTCAGGAATTTGGCCATGGAGTAAGTTATTTAATATTTATATATTAACCGAGTACATTGAATGCGTTTTTTAGATGACCGTGGGTGATACAGTAGGTTACTCGGTGAGATTCGATGACTGCACATCAAATAAAACGAAAATAAAATTTATGACTGATGGTATGTTATTAAGAGAAGCGATGTACGACCGGCTTTTAATGGAATATACAGTGATAATATTAGATGAAGCTCACGAAAGGACAATTCACACCGATGTGTTATTCGGAATTGTTAAAAAGGCGCAAAAAACTCGAGAAGATCGAAACCAAACTCCTTTAAAAGTATTTAAATATTTAACATTTGTGTATTGTTTAATTGAATAATTGATTTGCAGATTATTATTATGTCTGCTACGATGGACGTAGAGCATTTCTCGCAGTATTTCAACAACTGTCAAGCTGTATATTTAGAAGGTAGAACCTATCCTGTTAATATTAATTACACCATTAAACCTCACGACGATTACCAGACCAGTTGTGTCGCAACGTTTTTCAAAATACATCGTGAAGCTCCTTCCAAGTTAGTTTATTAAAAAATTCACATTTTCACAAATATAACGATAATTTCTTTGCAGTCATGACGTGTTGATATTCCTAACCGGACAAGAGGAGATTGAAGCCTGTGCACAACGAATACGCTTGCTAGCAAAAGATCCCGATGTTCAAGGACCTTCGGTTAAATGTTTCACGTTATACGCAGCTCAACCTAGTGCTCAGCAAATGAGCGTATTTCAGCCTTCACCTCCAAATACCAGAAAAGTAGTTATTAGTACAAACATAGCGGAAACTAGTATAACGATACCAGGAATACGCTACGTTATTGACAGTGGTATGGTGAAAGCGAGGTATACCAATCTACGATTCATCAATCATTGAATCTACATCGTTTTGAATATAATTTCAGAACATTCCATCCATCGACGGGCTTGGAGCTGCTGAAAGTGCAGAGGATATCGCACGAGCAAGCGTGGCAAAGGGCCGGCAGGGCGGGCAGAGACTCCGAAGGCCATTGTTATCGAATTTATACGAGATCTCAATTCGAATTAATGAAGAAATCGACGGTACCTGAGATTCGAAGGGCGAATTTATTGACTGTGTCGCTTCAACTGTTGGCGCTCGGCGTCCACGCGAATTACTTTGATTTCTTAGACAAGCCGCCGAAAGAGGCCACAGTGGCTGCTTTCGAGCAGCTACAACTTTTAGGTGCTGTGGACGACGTTAATTCGATTTGTTTAACGCCTGTGGGGCGGAAAATGGCGAAATTTCCTTTAGATCCAAGGTACAGTGAGACTATATTTTCTTTTAAAACTTACTAAAATTTCTAATTGTAGATTTTCAAAAATAATCTTAGCAGCCGAACAGTACGGTTGTCTGCAAGAAGCCCTCACCGTAGTATCCCTACTTAGTACCGAATCCATACTTATTAATCCTGTTACTAAACAAGCGGAAGCTCAAAAGGTCCGCCAGAAGTTCTGTTCAGCTTATGGAGATCTCATTACTCTACTGAATATATACCGGGAGTTCGAAGCCGTGGGTCAAAATAACAAACGAATATGGTGCCATGAACATTTTATTAACATGCGGAACATTTTGCATGCCAGAGAAATTAGGAATCAATTGGAGCAATTGTGTAAAAAATGTGATATGGGCGCGATGTCGTCTTGCGGAGGTGATTTAGATAGGCTTAGAAAGTGTTTAATTATGGGTATGTTTATGAACGTGGCGGAGTTGGTTAGAGATCATCAGTATATCACGGTTAGTTATTTTATTCAAATTGTTTTATTGTATTCTAAATTATGTGTTTTTTAGTTGGATAAGAAACAGTCGGTGCAATTTCATCCTAGTTCGTGTTTGCATCGACAACAGCCCCATTTAGTTCTCTTCGCAGAAGTGGTGCAAACTAACAAGTGCTATTTAAGGGGTTTGACTACAATAGAAGCCGATTGGCTTCGAGAAATTGTTCCAGATTATATGAAAAGCCATTCGCTTAGGTTTAACAGCAGTTGATAATTTATTTTCAGTTATTTCCATCAGATGATGATTAATTTTAAGTTTATTCTAATTACTTTTAATATTGATACAAAAAATACCTAAATTGGAACAATAGCCAATTTTTAATCACCTTGCATGAGTAAATAAATATTTCTGTCTAAAATGGTTGAAACGATTATGTTGATTTTATTTCTGCACTACTGAGACATGTTTCAAAATCAAGACATGTATGCTGAATATGTATTTGTTTTGTTATTTAACTTTGTAATGTACGTTTCATGTTGTTACTCTTGTAATATTATATATTTTTTATAACTAATTCGAATTTCGTTTAATTCCAAACACATTTAGTCAAAAAAATAGAATAATTTTCTGAATTTCAAAAAACTGCCTTTTCTTTATAAGGAATTTGGCTAAGTTTGCACAAATCCTCGACTTTCAAAAAGAGAAGAAAATGTGTAGCTAACTTCCTATTTATTTGGATACTGGCAATCTGTAGAATTTTTCTAGAAAATAATCGCAAGTCACAAGAAACAAAGTCAACTTGACAGTGAAAATTTATGTGTGAGTAACATCACTAAATTATTAATCCATTCTGTACATTTGTGCTCTTCCATTAGCATTTCAAAATATTGCGTCATTGAGAAAAACATAACCTACAAAGAATAGGTAAATTTTGCGGCTAATTTTTGCGAAATAATTTGCGTTGTAGCCTTTGGTGATCCTCCCAACGAAACATGGCTCTTCTGGCTGCTACGAGGTTTTGTAGGGCTCCAGCTCTTCAAAAAGTATCGCTCTTGAACCAGTCCCAGAGATACAATGTATACAGAACTTTCACAGAAGGAAAAGATGCTGCTACTAGGGCTGCTAGAAGACAGAGGCAAACCCTTAAGGAAAAACTCATGGCACCGGCTGGAGATTCAGGTTAGCGAACAAATTTATTTAAGTTACATAAATCTACAAAATGTCTACAGCTTTCAGTATCGGAAGAGGTGCAGTAGCTGCCGGATCTGCAATTGGAATAGGAGCCCTTGCTTTCTACGGATTGGGTATGGGTTCTCCAACTGGGACTACAGTACTCGACAAACAACAGTATGTATTTAATAAACACTAATCTAGCAAGTACACCTTTAATTTCTTTCAGCGTATGGCCCGAGTATGTTAAAGAAAGAATTAGGACTACTTACATGTACTTCGGTGCTTCGATAGCAGTCACAGCCGCCAGTGCATTAGCTGCTGTTAGATCGCCAGTGATAATGAATATAGTTATGAGAAACGGTTTGGTGGTAAGTATTTTTTTGTATCATCTTTTATCCTTTTATAAAGTTTTATGTCTTAGGGTTTCGGAATAAGCTTAGCTGCTATAATGGGTACAGGCATATTAGCACAGAGTTTGGAATATAAAGAAGGTTTTGGCCCCAAGCAAATGGCATGGCTTCTTCATGCCGGAACAATGGGCGCTATGCTAGCTCCGATGTGCCTCCTCGGAGGCCCGTTGTTGGTGAGAGCTGCATGGTATACGGCTGGTGTTGTAGGCGGGTTAAGCACAATAGCGGTAAGTTATATTACGATATAGCAATTCAAAAAAACTAGTCAATTTTATTGTTATAGGTTTGTGCACCGAGTGAGCAATTCCTGTACATGGGAGGACCCCTGGCAATGGGTTTGGGTGTGGTTTTCGTTTCTTCTCTTGGTTCTGCTTTTCTACCGCCGACTACAGCACTTGGAGCTGGTTTGTATTCAATAAGTCTCTACGGTGGTCTCATCCTTTTCTCTGGTTTCTTACTTTACGACACGCAAAGAATTATAGCCCAAGCTGAGAGGTACCCGGTCAGCCCTGGAATACATGGCGTCAGACCATACGATCCGATCAACGCGTAAGTAATAATTAAATATTTTATATCGCGTTAGGCTAGAAAACACTTGAGCTCTCCAATTCCCCTTTTTAGTTCAATTGAAATATATTTGGACACTTTGAATTTGTTCATTAGAATAGCAGCTTTATTAGCTGATGATAAGAGCAGATAGATATTGATTATCGTTGTTTTCGGTAAACTATTAGTAGGGTTGACAAATTAAAGTCTCATTCGATGCGCGATTTTTTTTTAGTTCAATTGGAATCTATTTGGATACTATCAACATATTCATCAGGATAGCTACAATTTTAGCCGGAGGTGGTCAAAACAGAAGGAAGTAATTTAATAACAATGATCCATTTCAGAATTCCTACAGTTTTGTACATAAAGTAAATACACGTTGCAACTGGTCTGATGTAAATATTCTTTTAGTTATAAGGGTTGTTTGATTTGGTTCTTGAAAAATTCGACAAATATATTTAATGAATTTATTTAAGCTTTTTGTATTCACAATTATCGAGTTTGTTTTTTATTTATAATTACAATAAATAACATTTTAATCGCTAGGTTAATTTTTTCATTATAGAAAAAATTTCAAAGTGTTTCTTTGGATACATGTGCAGTCTCAATGGCAAATAAAATGCGGCGTGATGTAAATTAAAATTTTTCTGAAGAAAATTGTTCTGTAATTGTTGATTAGGTTCTATGCGTGGAAACAGTGTTATCGGGAAAATATCTTTAAACAGCCGTAATCTTATTGTACTTATAAAAATATTATATTTCCTCAACAGGGTGATGAAAGTGATGATGAAATTATGACAAGCATCTCAATAAATATGATAAGTTATTTATCAAGTACATACTACAATAGTTGTATCATTTGATAAATGTAAATTAAGAGGTATGGTTCTCCCTTCGGTACGATTTTTTTTCATTTTAAGCTAACAATATTTAGATAAGAAGATTTAAGTTACATGTATTAATATTAGTTTAATAATTGTATTTACATTAGAAGCTTCAGTCATTTTATTTTACAGAATTGGTGTCTACTTACTTACCACTGATGATTGATAGAAACAGTGTAGATGAAAATAATTAAATATCTAACATTTTGAAAGGCTTGATAATAGAGCAATTTATAATTTCTCCACTGAGCAAATTAAATCAACAGTCTATCAACCTTTAATTGTTGATATACGATTCTTCGTTTTCTTTTGTTATAGTATTCTAAACATCTGACTGGTACTTTATGCTCAATTTCTAATTTTCTATAAAAATTACCTAATTTGGTTTCATATAAAATTGATGTTACGGTTTTAATGCCTTTCAATTTTATAATGAAACATAGGTAAATGAAGAATTTAATAGGTAATGGACCTAAAAGCCTTTCTAAAAGATTCGATATTTCCAAATTGAAACATTAGATATTGTCGAACATCTTACTTCTAGAATATACCGTGAGAAGCACAGAAAAGAAAGTTAATTACATTTAAAAAGATACATTCATTTATCTAGTTTTTCATTTTCTGAAGGAACACAATAAATTATCACTACTTCTACACTATGGAGTTTAACAGAAGAATATCTCAATTATATACCAATATAGTAAGAGCACATTATATGCCCAGTTGTTTTATAAATACCCTGTTTGTTCCAAAATAAATTGTTATAAAATGGTGGATTAGGTATTTATTACAATTCGTTTACTTGTAAAATTAAAATTAAAAAAATGTATACGAGTAATTCCTTTGTTAAACTTTGCTTTCTAAATCTTCTTAATTATATACATATATCATATTTACGACTGTTTTTTTACTTATATCGATCCGATGATATGTGAAAAGTAGAAAAAATAAATAACTAACATTACTAAAATTAATATCACCTACTTCTTTATAAATATAAAACAAACTACAGTACCTACACAATACGATAGATCTAACAACAAACATTAAATATTACCAAACTTGCTAAATTTTACGCAAAGAAAATGAATATCTATTAGCTCACATTGGCAAGTAATTATCGTATTGTGTTTTTTTTTGTGTTTTAATTAACAATTATATAGGAATCTTCTATTTTGTTACTTAATACCAATGGCACCCAGAATTAATCATCTCACTATACAGATCCTTACCAAAAATTATATCGAGCCTTTTTCTATACACAATTTTATACAAAAATTCAATCGATGTAATACAAAATTATGTCGAATCCAATCATTACGTTCCACATTAATACCGAGCTTCGCAACAAATACCTCAAATTTGCCCAAACAAGCTTCCACGAAATTATATATACACACATTTCTATCTGCGTACCAATTACTTCTTAACTAGATTCGCTATCCTGTGCAAATGTGGCTTTACCGTGCTATTCAAAGCTTGCAATGGCGACGAAGGAGCAGGCGATGGTGGAGTGTTATTGTTCGTGGTCGGAGCCAGATTCTGCTCTTTAATTACCTGTTCCTTGGCACCCCTGAAATCCACAATAATTAACGCTAAAATGTGCCATTGTATTGGGTACTTACAAATATCTAGTGAGATCTTCTATGTCTACGAGCATGGAGTCTTGCTCCATGTGCAGGTCGTCTCTCGCCATTAGAAATTTGACGAGGCTCTCGTTCAGGTTCTCTATTTGCGTGTGCAAATCGTTGACGATGACTTGCAGCTGCGCCACGTTCATATCGGTGAGGATCTGACGGGACAAGCGGCGCTTGTCTTCGGGAAACGGTATTCCCACTTTCTCCATCGAGGTGCGGATCATCTCGGTGATGGGGCTTTTCTTTTGCCGCTGCTTCTCAATCTGAACAACACATAAGTACTCATAAGTAAACATAAACGCGTGCTATGTAAATATGCTTTACCTCCATCTGCATCCTGGCCATTTCTTTGGCTTGAGCCAACGCCATTCTGGCTTCGGTTTGCAGGCGGGCCTGCCTCGTGAAGAAGTCCACTTCCTGCAAGGGCTCCCGCACGATTTGAGCGGCCTGTTGGCCCAATGAGAGGGTTGCAGGTCTGGCGGGAGCGGGCGCTAGGGTGCCCTTTTCGATTTTTGTTGGCGATTTTGTGGCGTTGTTATTCGATTTGTGGTGCTTGGGGTTGGTCATGGGGCATTCCGAGTCCGAGCTGGGGCTGTCCGTGTCCGAGAGAGATTCGTTCATGAAGCATATTTGTAGGTTCATCCCTGGAAAAGTATGTATTATTAGAATTACGAGCGAATAGAATTGGACTCGGAACTATGGACTTAGGTTTAATTAACATTTTTATAAAGTTTGTAGCACTACTTTCTCACTTTAAGGTAATATTAATTTTTTATGCAAATAAAACAAGGCTATAAAATCGACTTTAATTGAAGCAATGTTATCTTAATGAGAAACTCGTGTAAATATTTGTTGAAAAAAAACATAATAAACAAGCGTATTTTTAGTAACAAATAATTCGAAAAAAATTCATAGCAATTTTATTCTTTATGATTAAGTACCTAGTACCGATATATTAAATAGTTGTCAACAATAGGAATTATAATATTGTATGCAACAAAGAGATAACAGAAAATATTATGATAAAAACGAAATATTTTTAAAGTTAGATCGATAAAAAATAAATGCCATTGAGTTCCTTGGAAAGAATGCAAACAGGAAGTAAAATTGATAAGATTAAATACAGCAATTAACTCTGTTGTCGTCAGAATCTGCACTTGAAAGGAACGTGTTTTAATGAAGTACAATGTCTTTGATTATGCAAACGAATTCAATAAATTTTCAACGATTTAACAAAACATGGTAATTTAAGAAAATTTAAAACGATTTTATACAGTAAATAAATCAGTTTAAGTTACATTGATAAGTGGTCCCCAAAAATAATGGGGAATTATTTTTAATATTTTTGACAAGTTGGTACAGTGGAACACCCTATACACACAAGTGCAAAATTGTTTGCAATATGATCAATTCTATTAGTAGAACAAAGAAACATTATTAAAATAACACTGGTTGGAGAGAGAAAGTTACAATCCTACAATGTCACTCTTCCTTTTTCCTTTATATGAGACTAATGGAAGTTGTCTTCCATAGTCTATATTGTAAACAATTTTGCATCTACCTGTATATTTTTTATTGCTTACCACTCTGTAATCGAGATTGCAAACTGGGTTTTCTCCCCGGTCTGTCCGAATAATAATCATCCTCGGAGCCCATGGCAAGTCTACGTCGGATTTCTTCCCTATCTGTGCGTCTCTGAAATTAAAACAAACATTGATAAATTAATTAATCATGATCCAGAGTGTAACATGCTAAACCCTTATTGTGATATCGTCATGGTAACACAAATTGCCATGGTAACACAAAAGTCTTTGCTAAAATCAAGAGTGTCATAAGCCTACTTGAAATAAATGAAATAAATTTAAAATAAACAATTTCTTACATTGATACCATTATCATCGTCTATAGTAATAACCCTAATGAATCTATCGACAATATTTTGTTCGTCATACGAGGGTGGCACGTATGGAAACCATTCCATATTCTCGTTAACGGCATTAAAATCCATGCTGAAGGTGGTCATGGAGTATGCCCTGGGGGACAAATAGTCGTTTTCCCAACACACATCTTCCTCCAATTTACTAACGCTGTAGAAATTTGATTTATCTTTACCGAAGCCCGTTTTAATGTTACTGGAAATTTTCCTCGATTTGTTTTTAATCGTAGTCGACAGGTTAACCGTGCGATTTTTCAAATTAGATAACCAATTATCGAACATATTCGCGAACAATGCACAAAAGAACCACTTCGGGGTATACGGAATTGGCGCATTTACCAAGCCAACTCGAGTCGAAAAAAACGGTCACAAATTTGCACTAAAATCTAAAATTGATATCTGTTTTTTTGGCACATGTTTTTCAGGTTTTGTTTTTGTTTCGGTTGCTATAGCGTTTCGTTTCGTTCGTTTTGAAATGAGCGAGAGCGCTACTCGGATCGGATCGCGGTCGCGAGCGAGACAGACGGACTAAGGAAAGTTAACTTGATTGCTGTGAACTAACACCTGTCAGGAATTCGTTTACGTAATTTAAAAATGTGCCTATGGTGTCGCTGACGTCGTTGCTAATTTTCATATTATTCATTGTATAATTAGCAATATTTGTAATTTATAAATGGATGAATTGGTTTCAAATAATAGTTAATTGTAATAAACATAAGTAGAAGCCAGTTTATTGTAGATGACATTGGCTGAATTGCCGAAAGGTTCTGGGCTTATTCCAAAATGAGAAAGAAGAGAATTTTTCATTATTCTAATGTTTTTGAAAATATGAATCGTTTCGAACAAGAAACTATTTAGTGAATGGTGAATTATTTATTTTTAATATCCTAGTTAATTGACTAAAAGAGCGTTATTAACTGGGTTATTAACTCAATAATTGGTGTAGACTATATGATTAATTTTGATTAGTTTTCTAATTAGAGAACTAACTGTAATTTTATCTACATCAGCTATCATTAATTTATAGATAATATAACAAAATAATAATAAAACATAAATTAAATTTAATACACTATAAGTACTCACAGTCTCGTCCAAACTCTCTAAAGTTTCGTTTTCGTCGAAAGTAAGGGTGTACAAATCGTACAAATATGAAGTGTCTTTTTTATAATGCCTTTTTCGTTTCAAAGTTGAAGACATTTTTTGTGAATTACACGAAAAAAATGTCGTAATATTCACGCACACACTCACACACACCACGTTACAATATTGTATTAGAATTCAGTGACACACGAATTATAAAATAGAAATTCCGAGATTAATTACTTATTTATCACTCGCGAATATATCAAAAATACCATACGATAAACCTCATAAATTTAGAAAGGCGTTGTTAATTAACTCGATCAGTTGACTGTTTCTTTCACCATTAATTTAATTTATTCTCATTTACCGAATTTACACTAAACTTTTTCAACACATCAATCTACAAGTTGATTTTGAGGAACAATTCGGCTAAAACGCGTCCACAATTTAAGTAAGAAAGTCCAACCGGAGCGGAAATCGCGAATATATTCCGGAGATTAAGCGTTAGCGCTACGTTTTAATGAGCGCTACCTAACAGTACCGGTACTGTTTTTGATTTGAATTTGTTGCAACAACTCGCTGATAGTTTATTGTTGATTTCTATTGTTGAAGAGTGGATACAAATGATGGGAGATGTGGTGCGGAAACGCGCACAACACTTTCAAAACACCGGAGTTCATTGATATTTTATTATAAGGTCGTTTTTTGCAATGTTTTTACAGAGTGAGAGAACTTAAAATTGAACTGTTCTGGTTGAAGAGGTACCGGTTAAGAGGTATACAGGTGCTTCATTTTTATTACCAAACTTTTATTGCTCACTCTTGTTATTTCAATGTTGAATATTTAACTAATCGAAGACGAAATGTAGATGGTAATTGAACGTAATTAACTCAGATGGCAAATTTCTATAAAAAACAACATTCATTTAAGAATTATTACAAGTGAATTTGTAAGAACCAATATTATATTAATTTTGTTAAACTCAAATATGCCATATTCATGTACACATAATAATTAAACTCACTTTTCTAACATAATTCATTTTACAAGAGTTATTATAAGAAAAAGTGTAAGCTCCAATATTATATTAATTTTACCAAGTAATAAGTATTGTTTATACCTACAAAATAATATTTCCAGCAAAATTAAACTCCTATAAAAGACATTGCGCTATAATTTCCTTATCAAAATAAAAATAATAGTAAACGGTATATTCCGTGAATAAATTTAAATAACAATACCTGAATCCTAACTTCATCGTGTAATGAAAGTCTCCTTTGTAAATTTTTATAAAGGGGATCATCGTCATCTTGAGAGCACTCTTGCAACATAATCAAAAACGAATTCTAAATCCTTTATCGCGATAATTAATAGTACACAGGCACTGGTTTTTTATCTTCGACATTATAATTCGAAACAAATCACATAAATAGAACGAATTGGAATTTTCGTTCAAGTAATAATGATATTGGAACTCTTACACGTGATTCAGGAACATGTTTGGGCGTGATTGGACACACGAAACTGTTGAGACAGTAATTTGTTCTGAAATTATCACTTTCCCGATGATAATTACCTGCTGATTAGATAAGTTATCAAGGTTGAGAGAAAAATGACACGGTTATCTGTGTAAATGTAGACGGAAATGAACGAAGTGGTCAGGATGCAAGTGTAAATGTTGATAAACATTGCAATTACGAAGGCATTGGTTTTTTGAAACTTTAAAAATAATAATTTGTCTGATAAATAAATCCATAAAAAATTGGTTATTATGGGTTATTTTGAGGATTCAAAAACATGTACGTAGATATTTTATGAGGGTGAATGAAATGACTAAGAAAGTAGGGAAAATAAAATGAGTACTTCTTGTTATTGATATATTAAAGTTTACTGAAATTTTTCAATATTTTTTAAATAGGTCTGTTCTATAAGACAACAAAAACTCACTTACATTATTTGAGTCAAAGATAATTATCTCAAAAGAATTGGAAGAAGATTACGCCTAATATTGAGACAGTTTTTATTTTAAAATTATGTAGAGTAGAATGTTCTATTCAATGGATCATTTGAGATCAATGGATCATCAATGAATCATTCAATGGATCATTTGAGATCCTTTCATATAGATTAAAATGTATACTATGAAAAAATCTGAACATATTAATCAACTTTCAAGGAAATTCAATTATTTATTGAAAATCACAAAACTAATCAAAATCCATCACTCTTATTTAGAAAATCCTGTATTTAAAACAAACAGTTTCTCGAAATTATAAAACAATACTATTTAAATCACTATTTAAATATTATGAAACAGTGATTTTTTACAAAAAAATGCAGTAAAAGTTAATCAACACAAATTAACCCATAAACATTCGAAACTCTCAGTAGATAAAAATATTTTTAACATAGTTTCTATCTAATCGAAACTAGACTTCCAGCCAAACTTACTTTATATTTCGTGTATATTCTGTTATCCATTTTCGAGCTAAACTTGAACTCACAACCTCACATATTTAAACTGGAATTTTCACGAAATGAAATATAACATTTTTCAAACTATGTAATTGATTCCGATGACATCAGTCCGCGAAATACCATGTGCTATATGCCTATGGATAATGTGAATACGCCGAAGGCGACTCGACCCTATGGAAACCGGCCACTAGGTCTATTTTGGGACTGACTCGGCGCGGTTATTCAAAACGGTTTTATTAGTTTAGTGTAGGAGATGAGAAGAGAAGAGGAGAATATGTCAGTGAATCAACATCTGTGTTTAGCTTTTGCCGACATGACATGGCTATTTGTTATAATTTCAATGAGATAACAGCCGATATGATACGGCATTGGTGGAGGAATATTGTATGTGGGTCGGGATTATGTGGATTTTTTCTTGGAATATACGTATAGTTTTTCTAAAGTCGATTAAACATCGGGAAAAATCAATTACACAGGTGCTATTTTTAGTCCATTTGTAAAATTACATTTTTTGTAGGTATACACTGTGTTTTTAATTGAGGAAATTATATTATATTGGTTTTGGTCATTATGAATTGAAACTGGGAATTTAAATGATTCAGTTTTGTTAGGTATGTGATTCAAATACTATGTACAGCGGTCTAATTTTCGTAATCTTTAAATCCTTATAGTCATCAGTATATGGATAAGTGCAAATTTGTTTGCACTATGATCAATTCTATAAGTTGAACAAAGAAAGATTAAAATAACAGGATTTAAAATTTATATAGAAAAGTGCAAATTAGCAGTTTGCATTTGCATTATGGTCTACTCTATGAGTTGAACAATGAAAGATGATTAAAATAACAGTGGTTAAAGAGTAAGAAAGTTTCTTTGTTGCATAAAGAGAGGTTCTCTATTGCACCCAAACACCAAATTGCGTACAAATTTGCACTAATCTTTATATGAGACTAATGAAATTTGCCTTTGTTGCACCCATAGACCAAATTGCGTGCACATTAGCACTTAAATGTATAGCTTATTTTATAAATTTCATTATTAATTTCTCTACGACAATGGTTTTGAACAACCCGATAATACAAAGTACTACGACCGAAAACGTTTTATAGGTCGCACGCATATCGGATGCACGCCATCCGTCATTGTCGCGGTCATTGTTTCAGTTTCAGTGTCATCCCGTTCTGGATGAGCCCCGTTTTAAACTGATGAACTGCCTTGTACTACGCAAATTGAAACTGTTCCTGATATAATGGCGTCGGCTGATTGCCGATGTAATTCGATTGCGCCATGCAGAAGCCTGCCCGTCGGTGTAAATATCGAATTATCTTAGGTCGTTAGGTGAATTTATTTATTCCATTTTGATGGAAATTGTTCACCAAAAATGTATGCAGTGACTGCGTAAAGTTAGACAACCCCGCTAATATAACTTTGGTTTAATATCAAATTTGGTTGCATGTAGTGTTTTTCATAAAATATCGTTATATCGTGAGGTTATTGCCAGTAAATTTATAACGAGGATAAACAAATGTATTTTTAGTTACAATCGAATCGACCTGGTATTAAAAATGAATCGAGTTATTGGTACACCGAATTTCGCCGTGCGTCACAAGTTCGGAAATTCTATTGTGGAAGTACGCCGAGATTTACGTGGAATTGATGCAAGTTTAATGATAAATTTCACTCACCCTTCTTTCCTCTTCTCGGGCGGCCCTTAAATGGCTTTCGATGGCCTCCAGATCGATCTTGGGCATCGCCGTTTCGATGTTGTACACATCGAAGCTTCCTGCAAGAAAACACCAGTAAATTCTCTGATACCCGGAGACGAAAATACTAAGGTGAAACACAAATTAAGCTATTCCACCAACTCGTCACAAATGAAAATATTTTTAAAATTTTTTTTCTAAAATAAAAAAAGCCTATTAAAAATATCCGTATTATAAAATTTCTCGGGTGCCATCTGCTGCCTATTAATAGTGAATGTAACAAAAGCCTGGAATTTAATTTTTAGAAAATTCAAATAGTTTTATGAACCGATTTTTAATGAAAATACGGGTATAAAATTATCTTTAAAATCCCAAAAAAATCGCGTCAATCCATCAATCACCAAAGTGGGCTCGTTAGCCTAAACATGCGCTTTTAATTTGATAGGTAGGACCATTATGGTCATGCATTGGCCGACGATAAGGGCTTTATAATGATAATAACGGACGTGACAATTGCCGTGCATTGTTCGTATTCGGTGGACCTCATTTAGGGCCTCAGATGTATTATGTACGATATCTTTGGGGAATTTACCTCTAAACCACAGTATGGTATTTAGGAGATTGCCTCCATAATTGAGCATCAGATAAACGCAATCTGATCTATAATGATGAATGATAATTCCAATTAGCATAACAGAAGAAAATAAGAAGTAGAATATATCAGTGCTGCTAATTGTTATTATAGTATAGATAAGATACCGTTAGAAAATGAAGCAGAAATAAAATTTTTATCAGGATTAATTGTGACAAAATCTTGTGACCCCTGTACATATTTAAACCAACAAACCGAGAAGTAAGCAAACAATTACAGAAACGATCGTAATTTCCGAGTGAAATACGGCCCTGCGAGATGTTCACCTCAAAAGGGCGTGAATCACGTTATATCGGCTTAAACACACCCCTTTCGGTTCATTACGTGCACCGAAATTACATGTTTGGGGTTGTTTACATAGTCCACCGAAATTTTATGGTCATTCGTGCGAAATTTTCGGTTTCCACAACGGCGCACTCGTGAATTCCAATAGGGAACACTTAGATTCATTATTATTTCAAAAATTTGATATTTATGAAAAAAATGAACATACAATTCGACAGGAATAACTGAAGACGTAACCTGCGCGACTTTTGGTTGATGGTACAAAGTACTTACGCGTTTTTACCTATTTGTAATGAAGTGTATGTAAATAAAAAAATTACCTAAAGCTTCTTGGCGTGATTTCTTCTTGCCTTTGACGATGGGAACGGACCTTCTGTTCAAAGTGTCGCGGCTTTTAGCGCCCCCTTCTCGGCGAGGAAAGGTGATTAAACTGCCAGTTTGTTGATTGTAATCTCGACGTTTCTTTACGTGCGATTCCACCTGTAAAACCAACAAGAATAATCATACGTAAATGCAAAAGTTGATAATAAATTACTTTTTCTTTCTTTCTGGCAACGGCGCTATCGTCGTCCTTTTCCTTGTAGCTTCTTGTAATGTCCTCTTTGCAGAATTTTTCGGTTTCATTTCCCGCGCATCCTTCTGATTTGAGCTTCTTAATTTGGTTTTCGAGTTCCTCCAATTCTCTGTTGGTGTCTTTTCTCATGTCATATTCTTCCACCTAGTAATTCAAAGACTAAGTATACTCCCAAAATAACTAGATACTTGCATACCTCCATTTTATCGACATCAAATTGTTTCTTCTCCTCTTTGCAATACATCGTGTCAATATTTTCCTTAGCATTCGACAAGAAAGCATCTTCGATCTTAACACCCAAACCAGCGTCGTTATAGCTTCGAATCCCATCGTTATCGTCGGGCAACAAGTCCAAATCGACGAACGGAGTTTCGGAGTCGAGCAGGATTTTCCTGATGACGGCCGTCTGGCAGTTCTTCAGGCAGATGCTCAGCGGCGGCGTGGAGGATGGCTCGAAGGCGGGACCGTCTTCGGGGCTGCTCAGTCTGTCCGCAGGATCGTCGAGCGTCATGTCGAGCATCAACGACGGCGCCGTCCTGACGGTCTCGGCGTCCTGGAGCACCCGGTGCAGCGGGAAGTCTTTGGTGGGCGAGAGCTTGCTGAACGGCTGCTCGATGTTCGGCTCGATGTTGTATTTGATGGCCGTGGGGGAGAGGTCTTTGATGGCTTGCAGCTTCTCGATGGCCTCTTCCAGTTCTTGCACCACCGCTTTTTCTATCTTGTAGATGTTTTCGAGGTTCGCGTCTTGGTAGGCGACTCTGCCTAGTTCTGCTTCGAGTTCTTGGCGGAAATCGCCTAGATTACGAAATTGTTTTAATTTAATTAGTAAGTGTGATTATAAGGGTACTTACCAACAATATTTTCGATCGGTACCGTTTTTTCTTCGGCTTGTATGTTCAAATTCACTTGCGCATCGCTGTCTTCATCACTGTGATTCGAGTTGCCACTGTAAGAATCACTGTTCTGGTTAAACTCACCATCTTCTTCGATATTGAACACAGTTTTATCGTAAAACACCTTTTGGATGTTTTCCACACTGTCCAAACGGTTCACACTGTCTATTTTATAGTCCGTATCGACTTCTTCGACGTTGTTGTTGTTGTTGTTGTTCGCTTCGGCTTCCAATTTGGCCGATATGGAATTCCTGGTCACGCAATAACAAAGGACAAAAAACCAACAAATAGAATACGTGAAATAAATGTAATTACGTGTGTGTGTTTACCGTAACGTTTCGGTGTCGACTAGAGACGGTTCGTAATCTAAATCATCGTCTGTATATTCGACGTCCGAAGCGAGCGTGTGAGCCAAGTGCTGGAAGCCGGGATAATTGGGATTGACGATGCCCCGGGACTTCCTTTGGACGGTTCCTCTGTTGCTCAAATTGCCGTCCTCCGATGACTCGGAGTCCGATACGTCGAAGCATCTGCCTTCATCTTGGGGAGACGTGTCGGCCGACGAGCAGCTCTGTTGAGCTTCTGGAAAATGTACAAAATTTTCCAATGTGGAGGCTGATAGCTTGAAGAGTGGTTACCAAAGAACAGAATTCTACTCAAAATCACGTTGGTGAACCAAATTATGGATCACATAAAAAATCACAGATTTATTGTCAAAGGACCAAAATCCACTAAATATTAAATGAATTAAGAAGAAAGATGCCTTAAGATCCTAAGATCATCAGAAAGACTCGAGCGATGAGGAGTTAAAAAACTGTAATTAAAGAGACCAGGAAGCTATGTAAGGATGCTGGAATTCATAATGTGATAATTGGAGTAAGATTGAACAAAAAAAAATGAAAAATATTCCGATACCGGGAATCGAACCCGAGCCTCCTGGGTGAAAGCCAGGTATCCTAGCCACTAGACCATATCGGATATGCTAAATCCACAGCATACGAAATTTTCAACGTTAGTCCTGCTAATAATAGCATTCAAATTATGTTTAAAATTGCGATAACCTTTGTACACATATTTCCACACGCATCATATTTCACTTTGAATTAATTCGTTGTTAAAATACGCGTTCTAATTATAGATAACTGTTCTATTTGTGAACATTAATTATGGGTCAAATCGAAGAATCGTCGTGGGAGTTTTTATCGACAGAATTTTAATTAAATATCGATAGAGTAGCGCTGACATGTGTTGTGACTGTAAATTACTCTCCAAATTGATTAATCAAATGTATAGATTGTGGTGAAATTGAAGTGAGTTTACTTGTTTTATTTTGTAAAGGAAAGGATGAAAGGAGTAGGAAAGTATGTTAAATGTTATTTAACTTAAGGATTAAAAATCCTTAAGCCTAGTTCTTGCTCTATCCAAGATGTTAATTGAATTTAGGGGCTTAAAATTTTAACATAGTTCTTGTCCTATCTAAGAGATTAATTAAAATTAGGGGGTTCAAAGTTAAACCTATAGGTCTTGTCCTATCTATGATGGTAATTGAAATTAGGGTTCATCAAAGTTAAACCTAGTTCTTGTCCTATCAACGATGTTAATTGAAATTAGGGTTCGTCAAAGGTACCTAAACCTGGTTCTTATCCTATCTACGATTTTAATTAAAATTATGGTTGAAGGTTCATCAAAGGTAAACCTTTGTTCTTGTTCTAGCTAAGAGGTTAATTTTATTGAAGTTAAGGGGTTCCTTTATTGCATAGGTTTTGGATTGGTGAGTTTTTGATGAGGTTCTTACTGACCTTCGAAATCCAAGAAAGTATCATCTGCGTCCGGCGTCGACTGCAAGGAGCAGACCGAATTGGCGGCGGATTTCCGCAGCGGAGGCGGCGCCACCGCCTGCCGTTGGCGGTGCCTGAAGGTGGCGGCCAGCGTGTTGTTGATGTTGACGTTCACCAAATTCCTTTTGCAATTGTTTGCGTTTTTTTGCGCCTCTTGCAATGAGGCCTGGCACCATTGCACCTACACCCAAAATTTACCAATTCAATGTAACTATACAAAATCGTTCAGATCCAATAAGATTTAAGCCAGACGGTTAAATGGAAATAAGTTTTATTGGTCTATTCGGCGGTTTGTGAAACGACTTTGGATTGTAAATAATTACGTTAGTTATTTATCGGTAAAGTTCGTAATTGGTGAAGTGCACTCATTAAAACTAAGCTTTTAAGTTAAAGCTCACCTTATCTTGAACGACGTTCTTGAGTATGTTCAAGTCGGCGGTGTTTTGCAGATCGATAATCACATTGTCGATGCCGTTATTGCTGTTGTCTAATGTAGAATTGGTAAAGTTCTCGGTGGTATTAATGTAGCCTTCGGTCGGATTCGTGAAGTTCTCCGTCGAATTGGAAAAATTCACCGTCGAATTGGCGTAAGTTACGTTGCTGTTTTGCAAAGTATTGATCCGCTTCGGCGAGTTGAGGATGTCATTATTGCCGTTCCGGACCGCCGCTGGCCCATCCATGGTCTTCAACCGCATGGTTATTCGGTACTGAAACCAAGAAAAGCAACACTTCTTAAATAGTTCGAGAATTTACCAATAGTAAATTGCCTAGTAAAGAACTTACAAGGTGTTAAAGGTAAAAATAACAAAGAGGTTTTTTTGATATTGGGGCAGAATTGCCGGGCACTTCTATTAGAGCTTTAAGTTTCAAAGAAAGTGAGACAAGAAGAGTAATTTTTTTTTCAACTACCTATGGGGTTTCTTATAGTAAGAGTTTCTAGATATCATCAGGGACGGGATATTAAATTATAATCTATAAAAGCATATTTAGTGTTATTTCTCTCCTTCTTCACGTTTTATCCATCATTCCAACCATCCATACAAACGAAGCAACCAATAAAGAAAACTGTTAGAAACATTACACGCATTTTTTTGAGAATTGAAAAGTTTGTTGGACGAGTTTTCCTCTCGTCGGGCGCCCAACGAAATTCGCATTTCGTCGGTTATTTGTCCGATATAGCAATTTGGAAAAGCTAATAACCGTTTGGGGGCCCACTCGATGCGTGTTTTTTTTTTCGGAAAACCTAATAAAATGGAATGTCGGTCGATGCGCCTTCGACCATATGTTATTGCCCTAAATTCGGTCATTTTTATGTAACAAGGCAGTCACTTTCGTGATATCGCTTTTTTAGATCGGCGTCTGCATATCAGATTAAAAATTAACTTTCCAATGGGTTCTTGGATATCCTGTGGGACTTAATGAGTTCGTAATGGAATCTATAATAAACTACATACTGATAGTGAAAATGTGGGAATATATTGAAGGAAAATAAAGGATTATTTAATGTACTTTTAAATGAGAAATTTTCAGTGGATTCAAATTAATATAGATTTAATGTTAATAAGACTAAATGCTCATTAAATGATGAAGTATAAATTATAGACAAGAAATAATCACTTTTTCTAAAATAATTTACAAACAAAAAACTAATTTATTTCATACCCCTTATCTTAGCAGGGTATTTTTAATAAAATATTTTTAATTTTTGAATAATTCTAACATCTCTGAAAATTCGCCTTCAGCAACACCTTGTGTAGAAAAATTGATATCGAAGACAGATATAGAATTTATATATTTTAAAAAGTTTCATAATTTCCCCAACGAACTCCCGTTTTTGCGAGGAAGTTGGTAGGAAGTTCAACTCGAACTTAATTAGGTTTCACAAGTAGTTGCCCAAGTTTTTCCTTGTAAGTACAATTTTTTCCACGAATTTATTACATCAGGTATTTTCCTGGAGGCGCGCCAACTGCACTCGACTTTTAAAAGAATCAACCAAGGCAAAATTTATCACAGAATGATAACGATTTTGATTGTATTATAAAATCAAAGAATTGTTGATAATCTAATCATGTTTTTTTAGGTAATATACGCAGGACTTTTTATTTTATAGTAGATTAAATTAAGGGAGGTCTTTAGTGCAAATGACACATTCCTTTAGTATAAGGTTCTATACAACTTTTTATGATCCCGTTAAGCCCTTTACATCTAGTTACCGATATACCTATTTCGTTGAACGTATACATGGAACTTTTCCGAATTTTACGGCCCAATAAAAGCGAGGAAAAAAAGACGAGGGGGCAAATTTCCCGGCTCGCTTACCGAAAGCGACGCTCAACGACTGCGAAACTCGCTTAAAAATTAGCCATTCGAATAAACTCGCCCGAATCGGCGCATTATCGAGTCGAAAATTCCATTACGCTCTCGCCGCATTTACCAAAATATAATTTTAATTCGAGCGCCCTTCGCCGGCTCATAATCAAAATAACCGACTCCGGCCGGATTCAATTAGAAGATTGCATCCGAGGTGCATTTGCATCCATTACGGACGTCGCTAATCGGATGAAACGGAATTAAAAACGTCGGTCGGCGGGCGTGTTTACGCCGCTTTTCCGAAAAGGAAAATTCGCCCGGCCGAATCGCCCGCTGGCAATTAGATCAATTGGCAATGCCCTCGCGTTTTCCCGCTCGCCTTTTTTCCGATTACATTGCGAAAAGCGCCTTTGTTTGCTCGAATTTTCGACTTTCCATCGGGACAATAAAAGCCACGCTAACTAGATACCGGCCGACTATAAACGATTTTTTTAAGAGCCTTTTGTACCTTTAAGTGCACATACTTGAGATAAATACCAAGTTAAATGAGCTCATCAGGATAATGGATCTAAATGAGAGTAGCATATTATGCAACCTAATTAAGTAGATCATTTACACACAAGATAATAGACAAGTTTAACTTGTTAATATCAACTTTAATTTTGAGCCCAGTTTTGAGCAAAAGCCTCCCCTAGTTGCCAGAATTATTAATTTGAGTGCATTTCGGGGAACAACCGATAATTTTGTCTGGATTTCTGGGTCTGTCGCAGTCCGGTTAACCCGGTGATAAAAACGCGTCCATTTCGACTGATGAAAATGGCCCCCGGAAAAAACTAATATCTTAGCGTCTCCGGTTTTATGAGTACGAGTTCATCAAAAAAGTCGGGGACTTCATCGTGGAATTTTATCGCTTTATTTTCTGGCCCATATTCCGCAACGCGCCCATAAGGGCAGCAGTGATAATTTACTTTACATTTATGATCGTAAATATTTTATTTATGGTGTCTGGTGTCTCGCGCTCATGAACGGCATAAATTATTTCACGTTCCTATACGTATAGTTCGTCATGTTTGTACGTGGAAAAAAATTATTCAAACATCACGAGAAATCATGGTTTTACGAGCTACATACATATTCAATACCCAAAAGTTTGTATAGTTTGACGTCATAGGTATTGGTGATTGAGCAATCCTTAGAATTTTTAATTCCTCTAGTCCTGTGTTTAAAATTCCAAACGAAATAACTCGTAATTTTTGGAGTAAATTTTCGCTTAACAACCGAACGAAAGCATCTGGCGAAACGAAACTGGTGCATTAAATTCGCCCGTATTCTTGTGTACTTCCCCGGCGCGAAGCTGATATCTGTATTTCGGCGGGTCGTTCCGGCTCGGAGCATTAATTTAAAAGTAAATACGGAAGAGAACGTGTTAATTTGAATCCTCAAGTGCCCGCGTCTGGAGTTTCTTAGGGAGAAGAGCGGCGCGCCGAAACGAGACGGCGGCGCCGAACCCGAATATAAAATTTAACGGTCCAATTTTAGGAAAAACGGTACAATAAAGAAGAAATAGTGGTTGTTTCGATGGAAATACGCTGATGGAAGCGGAATTGCGCGGGTTCGGATTGCGGCCGTGTCGGAGCACAGCATAAATTTCGATTTTGAATAAATGCCTTGTAAAATTTAAAAAAGCTTTTTCTTTGTAAAACCGTAAAGTTTACGCTGACCTAACTCTAATAGCGCCAGTGGTATGATGAAAAATAAATGATTATAAACTTTATACTTCTTAAACATGCACCATTAAGTATGTTTTATTAATAAGCTTATTGAGCAAAGAAGTTGAGGACATTAAGGGGAATTATCATTGATATCAGTCGCCTTTCAGGTATAGAAATGCATTATTTAAGGTTATTGAAAGTTAATACATTTTATACAGATAAAATAATGCACCCTTAAAAATAAAGTTAAAAAACCCAACATATTGCATCATTAATTATTTTAAATTCTACGTCGAAATGGAAGTATTGCGTGTACAAGGGCAATTTAAAAAGCATAAAATGGAAAAATATTTATTATTTATGGTCGCATTTTCTAACAACTCTATTTGTGGCATTCTAAGTGCATTTAGCATTACCTGCCCGAGTGCATTTTTTTCAATTTACCACACTCTAATCACCTTCATATATTTCATTATCATCTCATTGACAGCGCACCGAAAATGGCGAATCCAATTCATGAAAGTACACCGCATTAATTTCTCAACGAAAACGTTACGTAAATCGAGACCTTGAAACGGAGCTTTCCGTGCGAACAATACGGTTAGGTAGGAAAAAAAAAGAGAAAACATCCAATCAATTTTCCGTCTGAATGAACCGCGCTCAAGACCCGTTGCGACGAGGCCAGCCGTAGAACGGGGACGCCGCCATGGCGGATGCCGTGATAGACAAGCTCGGAAATAGTCCCCCAGGCGTTCCCGGGTATTCCCGGTGCATCGGCGGATAGGTAAACAACATTCTACGCTAAAATCAGTGGCGTGAAACGTTTCCTCGTTTTAAAATAATTTCTAATTTCTAAATTGTAAATAATAATAATTCAAAAAAAACTAGTTTGCCTTGCATGTCAAAATTGACAGCTGCTCGTATTGACAGATGTGACACGATTAATGATATAAAAATGAATCAATTATTCTAGAAGAAAATGAAGATTTTTTATACATATTTTTAGTTTACATATAGTTACATGAGTGCTTCGGAAAATCCAATACCCGCGCGACTATGGAGATAGTGGTAGAGAAAATTATCCAAAACTATAAGGTAGGAATATATGTAATTATTACAGTGTAATTAAGAACAAAGTAAACACGCGAAATTGTGAAGTGAATACTCCTCTACATTCGTATAACTAAACTGCGAGTCACGTAAAGGATCAATGTTATTCGGGGTAATGCAAACAAGCCAAGAGCTTTCGAGCTTTCGGGGAAGATTCGAATAAACCACAGCGCCATTTAAAATTTGAATACAACAAAATCTTAGCTGTCTAAATAAAATAGGGAATTACCAAATGCCTGGAATCTAAATCTTACGCATTGATACAAAATAGTCGCATATTATTATAGCATTTTTTATATTAGGAGGCTGGTAGTTGTCATTTAAATGTCCAATTTATTTCATGTACTTTTTACACATTTGTTATTAATGTTTTGTTAGTAGGCTGTTAGCTGTCTTTCAAATGTCAAATTAGTTACCTAAACATTTTAGTAGACTAAAAATTTGTCTAAAATAAAATGAAACAATTTTAATGGTAATTAATAAGAAATTCCTACAGTGAACCTTACTTATGTTTGGAAATATAGAAGATGTTCTTTATAAAGGTGACAACAATATACTATAAGTATATGTTAGTA